ACGGGTTAAAGGCCTTTTCGTAGGCGTACTTTAGCATTCTGCAAAAGTAGTAAGCATCCCATTTATCCTCCCCATTTTGTGTCACAGCCATGTTCAAAGCTTCATTCAGAGCTGCTTTAAACGGCGAGAACACACAAACATCCAAGGGTTGAGTTTTCCCTGAGGTATGCGCAGGAAGCGCGTAAGCAATAATGTTGTTATTGTGTAGAATGTCCAAAACAGTCACAGACATATGTGACCTGTACCCTTCATAAATTAGTAGCAGCTTCCGGTTGTTTGCGGTGAGGTCTTTGGTGTCTTGAACAAAGCGCACAGCCCAATTTAAAAATTGAGGGAGTCCACACCTCCGATCTCTTCTCTCATCGTAACAATTGAACCTCGGGGCAAACTGTCTGCATATGTCTCAACACAAGACAATCCATTCTTCACGGAAACTCGATACGGCAGACGTTTTCCCTTAAATAAGAATAGCGGAGCACCCATGTCTCCGGACGCACTAATCACAGGCATCATGGTCACGCGGTTGGTGTTCAAAAATGTACCTGTTCGTGCATCCCGTGCCCCTGCTCTTGTCATATAAACCCGAGCAGTTTCTTTGCCATTCGCATCCTTTCCCGATGTTACGCCGGTCTCGTCCAGATTCCAAATTCTTGAAGGGTCAATACTGTGTTCTGAAATGATCTTGTCAAGCGTCGCAATGTGCGTCGTCAATGTATCACCGTTGCATGCGCGGAAACGGTTAGCCTCCTGACGATGGGGTCGGGCAAAACGTAACATATCTTTGTGCCGCTTGGTGAAGTTACGCAAAAATTTGGGCCCTGGTAACCCGTTTTTGAATGGAAGGAACATGCGTCGAGGAGCGGCCATACGACATATAATCATTTCAACCGCTTCCTTAAGGTGTGCCCGACGCAACGGGATCCCTTGTTCGGCGTAGCGGGCTAGCAGCGTGACTACTAAATTCTACTCGTGCGCAGTTAATGCGGTGAGTCGGCCTGGGCGTTTTGCTGTTTTGATGGGCAACGGATCGCGGTTGACGTGGTTGTAGATGGTGGACATTGGAATGTGGAACTGTGCGGCAGCGGAGCGATACGTTTGTCCCCCGAGGACTGCTTTGACGGCTGCAGTCTTGAGTTTTCGGAAGAGTGCTTCGATCGCTTGGTCATTTTTGTGACCACCAATGCAGGCGTGAAGGTCTCGAGACTAGAATGCCTTGACGTCGCTCCCTGTGTGATCCATGAAACGATGGTCTTTTTATGCTGCATTTTGTGTGGATGCCATGCGGACTTTTGGCGGGACGTCTGACTTTTTGCGCGCCCATCGGTGTTTGTGTTTTGAAAGGCCCGCCTCTTTTGGCAGAGAAATGGAGGAATTGAAACAAGTGATGTCCTTAATGTAAATTGGTGCGTGGTATTAGTGAGTTTACGCGAATGAAAATTCTGTCAGAATTCTGCACAGCTTGTGTGTACACGCGTACAACAATTTTGCGCGCAGTGCAACTCCTCATATTTGTCTGATAGATTACGCTAGCGCATTTCGCATCGAGGTTGTGAGTAGCAGCACCAACCCTCACCATGGCCCAAAAGAACTTCAAACTCACGACGTGCACAGCTCGTGCTGCCGTCTACGGCAGCCTGCTTCTTCCTGTAGGCAAGCGATATCTTAACCACCACGTACACCCCTCTTCTTTCTCCAGATCGCCCACACTTTTAGCGCTTGCCATCGAACATGACATCTGGACTGAGCAGTGCAACAAACTGCTCGACCGGTCTCAACGTATCGCGGCAACTGATTTTATGTTTAACTTTAATCGCTTCAGCGACAGAGAGGCTCTGCGGCACTTCAGGTTTCGGATCGTCGACGTGTGTTCATTGGTGCCGGTTCTCGGCTGGCCGTCTAACCAGTCTCTGACAAAGCGAAATCGATATGTAGTTCACCCGATCCTAGCAACCTGCATAATTCTACGTCCCATGGCTATGCCGGATCGGTGGGAGGACATTTGCGATATATTTGGCAAGCACCCCTCCCAGCTCTCTGAGATCTTCTGGGAGGGTATGGATCATTTTATGTCGGCTAGTGGTCACCTTCTTCTTAGCCCTGTACCACAGAGCTATATGGAAACACGGGCAGGACCATTTAGCGACGGGATTAGCGAGTGCGGGGCGGCTCTAAAAAACTGTATTGGGTTTGTGGACGGCAATGTTCTCGGTGTTGCTCGTCCCAGCGGTTATATGAAGCAGCTCGTTGTTTATAACGGCCACAAGCGCAAACACGCCCTGAAGTACCAGGCCGTTACTACACCTGACGGGATGATACTACATGCCTACGGACCTGTAGAAGGGAAGCGCCATGACTGGTTCATGTTTTCATGCAGTGGGATTGAGAGCAACTTTGGCAGCATTCTACAGGTCAATGGGGAGCAGTATGTTTTGTTTGGAGATTCTGGTTACAATTGGAGAAATTTCATGGAAGTGCCCTTCCAAGGAAGCAACCTGAACGTTAACCAGAGGGCGTTCAATGCGTCCATGTCGAAGGTCAGGGTCACAGTGGAATGGATATTTAAAAAGGTTAAACTGTACTTCCCGGTATGTGACACAAAAAGGAAGATGAAACTTGGCGAATCGCCGGTTGGCCTTCTTTATCTTGGCACTATGCTCATGTGCAACCTACACAATTCGTGCTACCCCAATCAAATCTCACGTTACTTCGGTGTCACTCCTCCTTCACTTCAAGAGTGCATCGAAGCTCGCACCTTGTTAGTTTCTTGACTAAAAAGGTGCGAGATTCGACAATAGGTGTAGATAGTGATACGGAGAGGCCGGGTTTGGCGATAAGAGGAAGCTGTGAAGGGAGTAGAGACTTGAAGCAGAAAAGAGGAAGACGGAAGGTGGGGGGAAGAGACGAGTAAATGAGGATGCAGTGGATGCCATGGTTTTTGGTGATGCGGGCCGTCCGACTAAGTGTACCGTTTCGTGATAAAAGTAGTACCAGAATTTACTTTCAACTATATATGCGATTGAAGCACGAGGCACGCGATTCAGGTTGTGTGGTGAAGGGTGAGGGGTGAGGGCGGGAGGTGTCGGGGCCCGGGGGTATGCGGGAAGCTGAAAGCAGAAGCTGAGGGCTGTGGTGGCATGGGGGCGTGGGAGAAGTCGAGGGCGGCTGTAGCATGTAGAGGGGGGCGTGGGGGATGTCGAGGGCGGTGGTGACATGAAGGACGGAGGGACTGCTGGTAGGGATATGGCGATGGGCAACGTGGGAGGCCGTGGGCGGCTGCGGCGTGTGGTGGGCTCCGTGATAGGGATTGACGGCACAGCGTTGCGACGAGTGCGGAATGTAGACATGTAGGACGGAGAGAGGGAACTCTCACTTGATACTGACAAGAAATAGTCTTTTCCCCTCTACCGTCAACCTGAAGGGTGAAATGAGCTGGGATCCGTGCGCCTAGTGCTTCCGAAGCCCTCTTTTAAAACACGAAAACCACCACAGACACCCGACCGCTACCTCAGTTCTTGTTTCTGAGGACATCAAGCATGAGCTCAAATTTCTTAAGCTCTATTTTCTGAGAGTCCTCGCGTTCCTTTCGGCGCTCTATACGTTCCGTCTCGCGTTCTTCTTTTTCACCTGCCCACTTCTCCTTCTCAAACTTGAGCTGCTCTGTCTCAAGGTTGATACGCGCCATATCTGCATCCTTAAGCTTCTCCGCAAAAACCGACAACCCCCCGCTTACTCCATAATGCTGTGTTTTACGGCGCTTCTTCGCTCGCTTCTTTGCTCGCTCTCCTTCGCCAGACGCGGTCTCATCACCATCATCCCTTTCGTCTTCCGTCCCATCTTCTGAGCTCGTCCGCTGGGACCAACGAAGCAAGGCCATTTCCACCACCGTCTTACCCAGCCTCTCCTTCTCCTGTTCTTTCGTTTGCTTTTCCAATCGATCCTTTCCCTTATCGTCAACAAACGACTGCCTTTCCTCCTGCATTTGTGAGAGCAATTGATAAAGATCTCCCATTTCGCCTCCAGCTACACCGGATAGACCGGCATTGCGTCTGTCCTCAACCTGGAAGTCGTCTTTTAAACGGTTGTAGCTGTCCTGCACAGCCTTCCATGTGACTTTTTGCTCCATATGGGGGTTAAGGTTAACCTTCGCAGCAACCTGTTCGTAGGTTTGCCTTACCGTTCCATACGGAGCAACGTGAGCACGCAGAGCTGCTACCTCCCTCACCAAAATCAGGTCTTCCATTGGAAGATACTTCCCTCTTTGTGCCCTTTTTTTCGTGGTTGGTTCATTATTTTCCACAGGTATAACCTCAGCCATGTTTTTGTGGATGCAGCTGTTCGAAAGTCTCGAGACGCCGGTTGAAGATGGCGCCCTCTCTATAAGAGTTATTGGTGTTTCTTATGTTTCGCGCGAAAACCCAAGACAGTTGTCCTCAAATGATGACAGAAGTGTCATGAGCAAATAGCCACATTTCAGCTATTTTGCAAACAGGCACGACGCAAATTTCGGGCAACTGAAAGCAGTATAATTTTCCTTGCGAGTGATTTGACGGATTTTCAGCTCACAAGATGTTGCGTAAGCTCTCTATTGTTTGCGCAGATTTGTTTTTGAATCTATCCACAAGGAATTGAGCCATTGGCTTTTTTATGAACTTGTTGAGCATTGTTTGCTGTCTTTGGCCCGATATGGGGATAAAAGTTCGCAATATTTGGGATGTTCAGGTAATTAGGGCGTGTTCCAAAAAATTAGGGCACCCCCCCTTACCTTGTTCGACAGACAAGCATTGCCAATTTTGCAAAAGGGAGGCGGCCATCTATTCGTAATTTCTTCACCTCTGAAACTGCGTTCAAACAGAGAACAAGATTCCTCACACCAACTCTGAATGCTGCTATCGCGAAGCGCCATGGAACGAGACTTGGTGGAGTCTTAGTCACATGCAGTAGCTCTACTAGCATATCCTGGCCGTTGAGGCTTACCCTCATTCCTCATCAGCTCTGCATGGATGGGGGGCTCTCGCTCCCGAGCATCTCGCAGGCGTCCGCTGCATTCCAAGTCGCAAACTTCTATCGATTTGCTCGCCATATCTCATCAACTCCAAAACGATCTTCGAGGGACCACTGCCCATCCCCAGTTACTGTCCCTTCTATCAAACATTTCTGCTCCCCCACTGCCTTCCTTTCAAGTCGAGCTCGGTGCTGCCCTTCATCTCCACATTCTACAATGCCCCCCGGCCTCACCTTACATCCGTTTCCGCCTGGCGCAACTCTGCTCATCATTACCACACTGGCACGCCTCCTCACCTTCCGCCTCTCTTTCCACTGCTGAAGCACTAGCCACATCCTCTTTGTCTCCAACATCCTCACGCGATGCCTCTGCGCTCTCCGCCTCATTATCCTGCGTCGCCGCTATCGCTCGCGCCGCACTCCCGAGCCGTCCCGCTCGTGAACAGGTAGAGCGCCACGTACCCTCGCTTGTCGAACCAATACATGTTGCTCTCTTTACGTCGCGTCCAGCCCCACTTGCAGACCCCAACTCGGACAGCGGCAGTGGTGCACAATCGGATCGCGACGGTTTATCGTCCTACGCGCCCCGTCTCCACACCGTCAGGTATGCAGCGCTCAACGCCTTGCAATCTCTTGCAGGTGTCGCCAGTCGCGCCCTCATCCCGTTTTGGGGTATGTTTCTTCCAGACCGGGACGGCGTTCCACGTCGCGCTGCCGGAGGCCGAGACACTCTGGCCTCAATTATTTTGTTTGAGAGAGACGTGCAGTTGAGGTCGACAGCAGTTTCGACTGTCACCGCCCTTCTAGCAAGCACAAGGACATTTATTCAAAAGGCAACCCAGTTCGCACGCCCAACGAATCCGCAAACTTCGGTTTCATTCACTTCTGCAAGCTCTCGCGTCTTGCGTGCCAGTGCGGCATTGTACACTGTAGTTGCGTCGGCGTTGGAATCAGAAAGCAGCGGTGTAGTTACCGCGAAGCTCGCGAAGCTAGGTGCGGAACTTGCTTGGAGCATGCCTGTTCCGGCTGTCCCGCATGAGAAGGCTGTTCTTCTTGCACAAGCGTTGCGAAGTCGGCTGCTTGATGAAGAGAACACAGATTTGACTAGCCGTGCTGCGGCAGCCTCTGCTATCGCTGTATTGGTCGCAAAGAGCGGCGAAAATATTGCTTTGGACGAGATAGAGCAGTTTTGTGAGGACTTTATCAGGGTATTAAGGAATCGTCATGGCAACCAGCCAGCATTAGAAATCCTAACCGTACTGCGGAACATTGTCTTTGTACACCCTCATTTATTTCGAAGAATGCTGCACGGATGGCACTTGCCTTTGATCGACTTGGAGAGGGAAGAGCCGGCAACTGGACAGTCGTTGCACTGTATACGAATCGTTGAAACCTATATTTCGCAAACAGTCAAGTTGCTTCAAGGGAAGCCGCGACGTGCTGGCGATGGAAATGAAATAGACGATGTTCGCGTTGAGGTGTCTTTGGCATGGGAGCTTTACCATACGCTTCTTCATAGGGTTGTTCAGGATCGCACACATCCTGGCCAAGGCTCAGCCATCAATGCTCTTGGAAGTGTTTTGTTATTGTCAGATATAGTAAGTCCTCTTGCCAACCAGAAGCATGTCGCTGCCTCTTCATGTGAAGCTAGCTGCTTTGAGAACAGACATTCTACCACGGTACAGAACGCTGTGGGTCTGCTCAAAGGAGTTGCTGTATCCAACCAAAGTGATACCACGAGAATAGGCTCCATCAAATCGCTTGCATGCGTACCGGTGAGAAAAGTTTCGATCGATGTGCTCTCAGAAATCGTTGGTTGCCTCGATGATGAAATGCGAAGCCTGTGCAATGCACCTAGCGTGCGGGGAAAAGCCATGAGTTCATTTGCATCTTTGATGGAGAGAATTCTGCGCGAACTGCCTCAGCAAAACGACTTTTTCTTTTCTAGGCTCGACTCCGCTTCGGAGTTTGCTGCTCAATATTTGAAGCTAGGACAAGGTAAAGAGATTCAGCGAAACGTGCGAACCAACAGATCTGGAGCTGAATCAAGTGACATCGCTGCTATCAATCTTGTTGTGTGTGCACTTCAAGAGTCCTCTACATCTAATCTGAAGGTTTCTGTTTCACAACACCAACGGTCAAGTCGATGGTGCGAACAAGCTCTAGTCTTGTCGAACGTTTTGAAGGGTGAGAAACCAGTCAACACCAAGTGCATGTGTTGCAGAGCCGTTGGGAAGATTTTGATGAGCATAGTTTCAGGTTGTTCAGAGGCATTAACGAAACCAAGAGAGATCTTGACAGAAGCAGTCAGATGGTCTCTTGAAAACGGTGAACTTCGCATGCAACTTGTAAGTGCAATTGTATTGCTGGACCTTCTTCCGGCGAGGACGGCACCTACATATTTTCTTGATTCTACGATCTGGAATGTGGGCCTTTTTGAGAAAGCTTCCGCCAGGTATAAATCAGAGGATATGGACACCAAGGAAAGATTGCATCTGACTGCAATTCAAGACACTCTTGCTGAAACAATTTGTCAATCACTACAGAGATGTGATTATGAGATGATGGGAAAGCTTTCCGAGAAGTGGAAAGGGGATCAAGTCGAAGAATTGCATCTGAAAAAGTTACGCGAAGCAGTGTTTCGGCATCTGTCACTTCCCTTGACCGTAACTCGGCACATGAGTATGACTGCGGATGGACAAGTTACATCAGAACATCAGAACGCGAAGTCATTTTTAGATACGCTATCTGAAGACTCCCTGCTCATCGTTCGAAAGGTTTTGACAGTTCAAAAGCTGTTGGCCGATGATTGAAACTCTTGTTCCTATTCCATTTTTTTGCGATGCATATGCAGTTTGGTTAATCCCATTGCTCTCACTGGCGACAGTATTGCAGTCGTCAAGCTGGCAGTGGTTGCATTCACTGTAACCACAAATTTCATCAGCTGCTCTCTGGGAAACTGCAACGGGACAGCAACAAAGCATTTGACTGCATCACTTCAGCGGCTACGGTATTAAAGCAAGTGAAGTGGACACCACTGAGGGACGTACAAAAGATGTACGGCCTCCGCTACAGCATACACGTGTAATATAATCTAAAATCGATATGTTGTTGGCGTTTCCACACGCTCGTGTTCCGCCCAAAAGACCATGCACAGCCTGTCCGTCTTCCTGGATAAGAAAACCGTTGAGGTCTTTGATCTTTGCGAGCATCTCTTCCTCAATAGGTTTCCAAAGTGATTGCATTTGATTTCTCTTCGGCTTGCCAACGAGTAGCCTTGCCTACCCAAATTATTTAGGGCAACAGAGAATAAAAGAGATCAAGTCTTTGAATATGCAGAAAGGGGGAGCATCATGGTGGAAGAGTCTGATGCTTCCTGCTTCGCGCTCCACAACGGAGAATACCGATTTGGACCTAACTAGCCATTACCTCCTTTTTGAGACGTTTGCGCAGAATGCGAGGAAAGCTGAAATTCTTCGTGTGTCTTGGAGCAACGGGGAGTACGCTCTCGAGGGCACCTTCAGCCACGACGAGGTATTTTTGGGAAACAGAAATGGCACGAGCAAGGAAGGCGGCCTAGCACACGATATGAGAACAGTCATTGATGCTGGTGAGCAGAGAGGAGTACATGTGTCTCAAGTCCCGGGGGGTGGTCGACCGCACGCAATCGCGATTGGTGTCCAATCTGACAGGTCGAACTTGAGGCTTGACGTGAAAAATGGTATAAGCCCTGCAGCCTTTATAGACAGAATCATGACTTACTTGATCCACGTTGAAACTCGATTGCATTCCGAACATGAGCGTGTTCAAACAAAGCTGGAGAAGCATCGTTTGCTAAGGAAAGAAGTTGACCACTTATCAGGCAAAAAAATGTCCGAAGATCGCAGAACGGAAGCTGGGATGCGGCTCCTCATGACCGAAAAGTGGCAGTACTGGGCAGGGCGACGGCGCTTTACTCCGCAGTGATTCTCGTAGCTGCAGTCCGAATGAAAACACTACGACAATGCTGCATCGCGGCCTCGCATTCTCGAGATAGCGAAGCGTCATCCCTATTAGCTTCTCTCGCTAGTGATGTGTCGAACGCTAGTCGTCGCCGTATTCCAAGGGCCAGTTCTTCGCTGCAATGTGGCCCTGACGCCAATTGTAGAGCGCTTAGCAGGTCGCTAATAGCTACTCTTGAAAGCAGTGGTACTACATTGGGATGGAGTTCAATGACTCGGGCTACTTCGAAGGCGACTCTAGGCCTTCAGGCGCGCCATCTTGCACCTGCTGACGAGGCGCCACGCCGACGATACCAAATCCGAAATATACTTTGGCAGCTTCTCAGTCGAACCATCTGAGAACAGTGAAGATATCTTCACAAGAGCTTGTTGCATCTCACAGTAAACGCGTAGGTAATAGAAGGTCTCCATCATTTTTTCGTCGCCAGCACTTGTGAGGGCGAAGACAACGCATTCAAGAGAACGGGCCGCTTGAGAATCAGCGCCCTCCGTTTCAGCTCTTGACAAGGCCAGTTCAGCTACGTTTTCAGCGCGTTTGTAAAGGCCAGCTCTTGCAAACCATGACATAGCACCGCCAAGATTTTCCTGATTCAGGCAATGTGCGCCCAGCTTCTCGCAGATGTTCCGCCCCGTTCTTTGCAGTTTCATTTTCGTGCAAATGAGTAGAACCTTTTCAACGGTTGGGTCACTCGAACCCTCGAATGGCATTCGCGATAAAAAGTCGATCAGCATCGATGTGCCGTGTAACGGACAGGCCTTATAATAATCCACGGCAATGCGCCAGCATCCGCGGGAGCGTTCCACTTCTCGGGCAAACTCCTTCAGATAGAACTCACGAAGGTCTGTCGCCCGTTTTGCCCTTTCCACTTTGGCGCCTGTGTCACCTTTGAGATACCCCGCTGTGACGAGTAGGTCGCACAAGTGGGCGGAAAACCAACTAGTTGGAAGGCCAGCCTCCAGAGACACGATTGCTTTGCGAATGGCACCTGTTGACGCCTCGACAAGTGCTCCGCGAGCAACATTTTCTGGAACAGGGAAGGCTTCCGATGCAGACGCCGATGAATTCCAAACCAAAGTATGGCCACCACGCAGGTTTCCACCGCTCGCCATCCCGTACTGCCCGTATAAACAGCACGAAACCAGCATCTCTTCCCAATTTGTGCATGCCTCGCGAATACCCTTCATATTACCACTCAGTAACCCTACCAATCTCTTTGCATGGGGATGAGCTTTCAATTCGTCGGATTGAACCCACAATCCACAGTGGCTTTGCCATTCTTCCCAAGTTCCATCACTTCTCGATGAGATATTGTCTGGTGGAGCGCTTTGTATAATACTATGCACTGTCTGCATAACACTCATCGGTCGCGGTTGAGGAGTTGAAATGGCGTTGTCGATTGTGTCATCTAAAGAATTCATATCAACGATCTCTTCCTGCTCTTGCTTGATGATATGCAACATTTGTTCCATTTCACCCAGTCGTCCAACAATTGCAAGCTTTATTAGTACATCCCACAACTTTTCGTCATCCTCGCGAGGTTGTCCAGCTTGCATTAACTGATATGGAAGTTCCTTCTCATTCGTGATATCGTAGCAACTCAGTCGGTACCACTCAGTAAGAAATACGCTAGTGTGACGGTCATCCATAGCGGGATCTGTTAGATACACGGATTCAAAAAAATGCCACACCATATTCGCATGCTTGAGAGACAATATCCATTCTTTCGACTTTTCGATATCCGCACCCTGCTCGTGGAGTTCCTCAAGATCCTGTTGACATGTGATGATAATTGATCTGTACCGAGCGCTTTTTTCTTGGATAGATATAGTTTTGTCACAAAAAATCTGATGGCCGGTGAAGAACATGCGAAGAAACGCATTGGGGAGAGAAGGTAGCGCTTCAAGATTGCAACTGGGCTGCTCTCCAGCGCTTGCGAGTAATCTTTCTCCTGGCGCCCACGCCAGGCTTAGAGGAACCGGTGCCATGGTGGCCCAAGCAATCCCAAACTTCCAACTGTTTTCAGACTTGCTCTAGAAAGGGGTACTGCTGGGCTGGCGTAGATTGGGGGCTCAAGCGACAAAGCTTGGAGACACAAATAAGGAAACCAAAATAACTCCCTGTCCTTAATATACTGTATCATACTGTACACATGCTCAAATGACAGGAATCTTTTTTTAAATTTTTTAGGGCAACCTCTTCCCACCATTTCTTATGATCGAAAGCTCGGAATCGGCCTTGATCATCGCAGACCTCTCTCTAAAGGCATCTCACTTTGAGACCACTCTCGCTGATCACCAGCTGTTGGCATGATTTGAGCACTTCGGAAAACTGCAAGGTGAGACTCAAGCAGGTACTTTGTAGTCCGATGTTACGAACTATACTTCTCAGACGGGCGCACTTTCTTCGGGATCGATATTCTCATGTAGAGCGGTCAATTTCGCATCTGCGATACTGTTCATCAAGCACTTTCAACCATCCGCCATCTTTTCCTGAGACGGAAGACAAGGAATGTGCTGGACGTGATCTAGCAAAGCTTGCCAAAATTTCGGGTGTCCTACGCCAAGCCATCCAAACAAATGCCCAGGAAATGGGTTCTCCTCCGGAGCTATTAGTACCACTGGAGCAAGATGTCATGGAGGCCCAAGATCTCATCAGGGATACCCTCAGAAAAGCAGGAAATCCTTGCAGTATTGAAGAACTGGAAGATCGAATCGAACAAAATGTGGTGTCCATACCAGTAGAGGCATTAGACTACAAGGGCCTTCTGCGGGCGCAAACGCTTCGCGATTCGATCGAGGGCATTCTTGTATCACTCCAAGTCATGCCCCCACAGGACACTATGCTTCCGGGAACAGGGAAGCCATTCAGCAGATTAGAGCGAAAGGAGCTACGAAGAAGGCAAGAAAGAGAAGCCAGCAATATTGCACCTGAGCAGTCGTCGCGCGAGAGCAGCGAGAACTTCGATAACGATGCCGCTCCGACTGAGTTACGCACTCCCTCAAGAGAGGAGCTTGCGAGGCGGAAAGCGCATTTGGAGAATTCCACGTCTATGCAAGAAATATTGCAAGGGTACGATACGGCATTGCTTGAAGTAGGTCGCGTTCACAAAGTTGTGAAGGGAGGTACTACAATGAGTGTGCGCGCTCTGGTAGTCATTGGAAATCGCACAGGCACGGCTGGTTTTGGTGAGGGTAAGTCTGATACAGCTCAACATGCTATTGAAAGAGCCTGTCGCGATGCGAAGCGGAACTTGCTCAGAGTAGACCTACATCAAGATCGCACCATTTATCATCGTGCGAGAGGAAAGTATGTCAGATCTCAGGTCACGTTATGGCCAGCTCCGAAAGGGACGGGGATCTCTGCGAACAACAACTTTTCGGCTATATTCCAGCTGTTCGGATTAAAGGACGTGGGCGCCAAACTGCATGGACCAAGATCATTGAGCAACGCAGTTAAGGCGCTTTTCAATGCCCTTTCGCAAGTGGAGACACCGGAAAGTATCGCACGGGCGAGGGGATTGGAGGAAATAGTGCGACCTGCGTTCATCTCTAGAGGTACTGGTGTGCGACGATGTAAGTTGCAACGATTGTAGTAAAACGATTTGAACACCTGACCCTGTGGACAGTCATTCGATGTAGTCGTCAGTTTGTTTTTCGCTTATTTATCCCTGTCCAAGTGATTTGCTCGTTAACTCACTAGACCATTTGCACATGGCTCACAAGCCTCAGTCAACGTTTATTGCACAATTGCCAGAGTTTGCTAGTCTAGAATCGGAGTGGCGTGAAGAACCATTGGTTCTTGCCTGCGTTGTAGCGCTGCGAAAGCTCCTTCTTGACAAGCTCGCGACCCTCTTTGCGGGCTTCTGGTCGCTCAGCATTGGCACCAGGGGAAGAGAAGGCAGCCATGTCAAGACCGCTCTTAACCGCATCACCGAGATCTAAAGTGTAGCGCGTCGGCATGAGGTGGTTGTAATTCACGACCTTGACGAAGACAGACATATCCGAGCGAAGGGCAATCTTCTTCTTCGACATAGACTTCTTCACGCGGCGCGGGTACTTCTCAATGCCAGCGACAATGCAGTGACCGTAAGAATGCTTGTTGGTGCCATTATCGTGATTTTGGAGGATGACAGCCTTCTTTCCGGCGTGCTTTCCTTGCAAGAGGATCACAATCTTCGCGGGCTTCAAACTGCATGGAAACGAACGGGAAGGATTTGCGTGAAACGGAGTGGACTAGGATGGTTAGCATATGGAAGCACGTCGGTGCGGGTACAAGCTCCCAGCAAAAACACAGATCCAGGTCCAAGGCACTTACAATTTTCCCATGGTAACAGAAGAAGAGCGCAACAATTCGAATGGAGAGGGAGCGTTGAGGTTTGCGATGGCGATAAAGGCGGCAGAGAAAAATCCTGTCGATGATGAGGCAGGACCTTCGGATCCCAATGCCATCGGCGACGCCCAATCTGACCAATGGGCTCACTGCAGAATGGGAAACCAAAACGATTACAATTTTCACAAAAACTTTCTTTTGCTAAGAAATGAATGTATTCACGTGTCCACGACTTCCTACTACAGTACAGTAATCTTTAAATACTACTGTATACTGTAATTAATTACTATGTACGACAACGTTATGACGAAAATTACGTACGATTCTTTTCGTGTGCGCATCATGCTCTGCGAAGAGAAAAAAAATCCTTATTAGGTTGCAGGAGCAACTGACTTTCGATCGCAAAAGAACTAAAATTTACGGTACCGGTACCAACTACGAGTGATAGTCAGCATGCCACTCCGAATATGCTCTTGTCGTTGCGTGTATCGTATGAACGTTCGCAGACGTCCGGGTCTTACTACGGGAAGCTTATGCATAATATTGTAATGTTGGCAATGCGTATATATACCGTCCTGCTTTGTACTGACGTTGACGGTTGTGTGGAATGGATTGAAAAACGCAGAGTTCGGCAAAATGAGAGTGGCAAAAACAGTTCAGCTCATTTCTCATGCATTTACTCGCTTAGAAAAGAGTTCGGCGGGGGTATGCCTGAAGGAATGTCGGCAAGGCGGTAAGTTTGTATTCTTGCTATGATTGGAACGCCCTTTAGAGGATAATGCAGAAGCACATCACTATGCCTTCAAACGATCAACACTATGTAGAGAATGTTAGTAGGGAATTGTTTTGCGACAGCATCTAATCACATTTGCAAAATCCGAGCTGCTGATCATGTACGTGATGATATAATAGCAATTTTGTACACTTCAAGGGCTCTTACGATATAAATCTACTACTTTCCAGCAACACTCTCTTCTAACACGTATAAGGGGCCTCAGATGCCGGTGATTTCATTCTACAACATACGTGCTCAAAGCAAAGGACCTGGTCTGCATCTTTGAGAGATGCGTTTATGCACATCTCCTCTTCTTGAGGTCTTTATAGTCTGTAGCAGTCTGACCAGATAATGCATCCGCGTATGGAATCACTTTAACGCCAATATCCTCACCATTTTTGATTACTGCCTCGACTTCCTGAGTGTAGTTGGTGTCTTCGATGTGCTTACGCTTCCCATGCCGGATGGTTTGACCGTTTGTATTTCTACTCAGCACAACCATTGTTGTCTTCCGGGCTGCAGATACAGTCATTGATTTTTCCACGCCACACCCCGTCCCTGCAGTTATACGCAGAAGCAAGCGACGCCGCCGCCGGTGTGGAGCACTGTCTTCCATAGCTTCGTTCTCCTCCTTCGATTCTCCCGTAGCTAAAACGGCATTCCCCTTTAGAAGGTAAACGTTTTCTTCTGGCTGATTTCGTGTCAGGAGGTTTATGCAGCGGAAGCCTCCACAAGAACCTAAATAGACTCTGTTTCGAAACGTAGCAAGTTCATCGCAAGCCAAATCAAAAACACCCGGAGTACAATCTACTTTGCTGAGCTGCAGGAGCATTGTGAACAGTTTCCCAGTCTCTACGGCGTCGAAGCCAGCTTCATGACTGAATTCTCGTTCATCGCCCAAAGCGTACCGACCGAAGCCGAATCTATCGCCGCTGGGAGACTCGGAATTGACTCCTGGTTTGATCACTGTACCCTTGCCCTTAGATGACAAAACAGCTTCATTAATGTGAGTGCTTCTCCACTCCACAGACTCACCCGGAATGAGAGTTCGAATCTCGGGGAGTACAGTCTTTTCTACTTTCGCTATTAGCCGACGTAATGTGCGAATGACTTCGTCCATGCTGCGGGCGTTATCGGAATTGATAGCTCGTCGAACAGCTTCGTTAGTGTCGCATAGATGCTGCATCATCCAACGCGTATCGTATAAAAACGGAAAGGCAGCTGACACTTGTTTCTTGAATTCGTCCAAGTGAGCCGGCAGTGGGGCTACAAAATTCGCAAGCAACTTGGAAATGTCCATGAGACCGTTGTGAATAACGATGGGCAATTTTGACTCACGCAACGAATCAATAACATACCGAAACCCGACTGCTTTCGACAGCTCTTCTTCTACCTCTTTGCACATAGCGCTGTCCCTCTTTTCAGCAACATCAGCTGCACTAGCGTACAACTCAATTTTCAACTGCGTTCTATCTTGCGTGGCCATGGTACTTGCGAATGCCCTTGGAAATTCATTGCTGATTAGATCAAAGACTAATCGTCTCTGCCCTGGTGTTCTTGGAAGTGTAAACATCTTGATGAATGGAGTTTGAAGTTCACCTGGTTCCATTACCTTTGTTTGGTCTTTATCCACCGTCTGCACCCATTCACGTATGGCCTCGCGGTAGAATTGGACAACTTTCTTGCTCTCAGCACTGATTGCGATCTTGGATTGTGCGGTAGGATTGTACTTTTTTTCCAAGACGCTGGTGATATGTCTTCGCAGGTTTGCCTCTATTTCGCCGCGTACCCAGGAGATGCCGTCTGTGAAAAGCTTGCTGAAGTCAAACCCGTGATGCATAAGAAAATGGATTGAGGATGACTGCATCTGAACGATACGGTCATAGTACGGGTAACGAGTGGTGGAAGGGTAGTAAACAGCATGGGGAAAAATGTTGAAATTGAAAGTGGCAACTTCCCATGCAGTTGGGTGCGCAGGTTCTAAGGCGGGTGTTTCGGCATCATTACCTTGTCGAGGCGCTGGCGGCAGAGAAGGGAGCGCGTCATGAGCGTCACCGTTTCTGGATGATGGAGAGGAATCTCTGTTGTATTGCGAGCTGCCTGTCTGCGCGAGTTGAAATATTGAGAGACCTAGCTGAATAGGAGGAAAGGTCTCCGCGTCGGCGCGGGTTGTTTCATATCTGATGGGAGGGGTATCCAACTGAGAGGGTTTGCTCTCGCCAAGACCGGTGAACTCTAAGTCGATGGATGCAAATGTCGCAGAAGGAAGGAGACTCTTGACGATGGCAAGCGCTTCTACAAAGTTTCGTCTTGTTACGTCCATGCTCTTAGAGAAGTGACCAGTGGTGTCCGGATTTGTGGTCGACAAATAGCCAATTGGGATTCAAGTACCAGAAAAGCTGAACAAGGCAAAAGGACACAAAGAAAGATGTCAGGTGATCAAAATTCGGGAAAGTTCACTCGGGAGTTGTTTCGTGGATGTAAGTTGTTCGGGCGGCGATCTATCAAGCATGGCGCAAAAGATAGAAGAAGAGATGCAGGTGGAGGTGTTCTGCTGGGGCTTGCCCGGAGAATGGTGAACCTAGTGAGGGAAGGAATGGGCATGCACGAAGGTAGAAGGACTATTGAGCTTGTCCAAGACGACCGTGGTTCTCGTTAGTCAGCCGTGTATACAGTGCGCAATGGTAACACTGTACACAGCAGGCTGTTGTTGCATGGCTGCAGATGTGCAGCTACAGTGTACACGTACATTACACGTCGTGCCGTAGTACACGTGTACAGAACAGCACGGCAACGTACAGTACCCTTGGGTACCCTTGGGTACCCTTGGGTACAGTGTTGTACTGTATCATATCTTGTAAATCTTCTTCCGTGCTGCAATTGAGGCCTGCCATTCGCACTTGTTTTCCCCGTTGACATGGTGACACGTCGAAAACGCTCTGTCCCGATCTGCTTTCGACAGAATCCAGAAGACAAACTTTAGCAACAGGTGCATTTCCTTGGATCAACGAAACTGGCCAGCGGCAGAAACCATCGCCAAAGAAGAAGCACTTGTATCATCCCCGGAGCTCAGCAAGCCTTATCTTGGACCGTTGGGCAATTCAGCGATGCAGGCATGCAGAAGGGCCTTTGCGCTTCAGCACTCGCGAAATATTGCCGCATTGGCTGCTCAAGGCGAGCGGTCTTGGAATATCACATCTAAGGCTTTCAATCACCTCTCGCCTTCTGCGACACCTGTACATCAGCATTCTTCGATGAAAGCATGCGCTCCTTACAGAAACATCCGCAGTTCCGTTCCTTCTCTCGGCGTCATGGACAACATGCGCTCGGCATACGATAAGGCTCTCCAAGGATCAGAGTCAAAGCGTGAATCGAAAGTATTCGAAGCGCAGATGAAATTGCTCACCGCAGACAAGCGCATAGATGCCAATTCATTCCTTGACTTGGTTCAGGAGATGAAGATGGCCAGCGGGCTCGGCGGTGTAAAAGAGCATTTGCCATGGGTGCGAAACAACCCGGCCACGGGGGAGTTTAAAAAGCAAGAAGAAATGCTGCGCGCATTCACCCCGGCGGAGAGGGCAAATGTCTTCGGTATCGGTATAAGTGGGTTGAAGCGCGTTGCCAGACAAGCGAACACCGATTTGCATCAGGTGGAGGGGCTAGTTGGACAGGTCAAGAGTATGATCAGTATACAGAAGTGGATGAAGAAGCGGAAGGATAGTGGGGAAAAGTTGCCGGAGAGCAGTCGCGAAATGCAAGACATGTTGCTTAGACCAGGTTCAGGGATTTCTAGAAAGGCAGGGAAAGGACAGAAACTCAACCCAGGTATCAAGGGAGGTACGACATCAAGGCGGAAGATGTCGTGAAGTGCCACGACGATGCTTGACATAGAGAGCCCTAGTGTGGCACTTCGTGGGTACGCGGAGGTGGGCAGAGGTAGCGTGCGTGTAGTACGCTGTGAGGTCCCTCCTTTTTCGAGCGTTGATCGTATGGTCCTTGCTCTATATGGAGGGAAGTTGACCATCAGCCGACTCTTGAGCAGAAAGACTGACGTTTGCTATAACATTTGCCGTCATACAACGGTCAAGCCGTGACAGATCAGCATGCTGGTCAACTTCCAACTTTTTTTTCTTTTTCGGAAACGCCGAGGAACTAAGAAAGCGGGTACCTGCGGTTTCATTCAGAGCAGTTGAGAGGAATCTAAAAGATTGGCTGTGGTCAGGCATTGCCATCAGATCAGACTCAGACTCAGCTAGACTCATGGATCTGTCGCGGCCTTGCAGCTCGACACTGCGTGAATGAAAGGTAGCATGTGTGGGAGCAGCCTGAAGAAGGACGGCTCAGAACGAGGACTAGTACAACACGCACCTCGCAAGACTTTTTTTGCGCCCAGGCGGCTGTTTACTATTTATGAGCATTACAGACCATGACATTAAACCAAGTTAGCATTTCCAAACTCTCATATGGGCTAAGCTATGGACTTTATCTACGATCCCATTGCTTGGTAAAGTTGGGAAGCTCAAGCTTCTAGTGTTTTGTAGGGTATATTAGCAGTACATGTGGAAAAAGTATTAAGTGTTATGAGTGAGGAATGAATACTATGTTCAGCCCAGAAGGGACCAGCCCCTGCTGGTAGCTCGAAATGTACAACACGAAAGCTGCTCCTGATTGCTCGAATGTTAACATGGAAGAGCAAAAGAACAAACGTCTTGCTTATTGTACAGATCGCCCACCGTTATTCTGTTAAGCGAAGGGACTGCAAAGGTGCCGTTGTATTAAAACATCACTTCGAGTGATAATGCCAACAACTTTGCCTTCGTCTATAACCGGAAGCCTGCCGATATTGTTGTCTACCAATTTAGACTCAATCTCATGCAGCGGTGTGATCGGGGAAACCGAAATGACCTTCCTTGCCAGCCATCCCTTGACTGGCGTATGCAAGAGCTTTCTCTTCTCCGACAGCGCGATATCCTGTCTCGAAATCACGCCCACAAGATCCCCATTATCCTGCGATCGAACGACCGCAAGCCCTGTGTGTCCTGACTCGAACAGAACAGCGCTCGCCTCCCCCATTGTCTGCATCGGCGTCACACTGACAATGTTAGTCGACATGAAGTCCCTGGCAAGCACGGGTGGGGGCAACTGGTCAAAGATGCGCCCAACAAGGTCTTCCACCAACGCTGTGACTTGCGACACGTCCGACATCTTCAGAGAAGCTGACGCGGCCTTGGCATGTCCCCCACCTCCGTATGGTTGGAATAGCGTGCTAAAATCAACGCCATCAACTCGAGATCGCGCACGTCCGATGATGGAGACCTGCTTCGTACTGTTCTCCTGAGGCTTGGGTTGCGCTTTTCTCCTGCCGCTGGGAGATACGCTGGCCAAAACAAGCGCGTCAATATCCGCTAATTCCAAGGCGGATTGTGCCACGGCGGCCATTCCCTTGACGAAAGCAGGGGTTTCGAGGACGATAGAAGCGACGCTGAGCCCGTTGACGACTTTGACCTCCATACTGTCCAACGCGTGCGAAAGAAGGCGCTGCTGTTGAGTGGTGAGGTAGTTGCGGGCAAACTGCGAGATGGAACGCTGGCACGCGCGTTGCGCCAAAAGCCATGCCAAAGCGGCGGCGTCGCGGGGGGTGGTGTTCTCGAAGGAGAGCGAGCCGGTATCCGTGTGAATAGCAAGGGCGAGCAAAGTCGCCTCAGCGCGTGAGAGGTGAATGTCCGGTCGCTTCATGAGTCTCTCGACGACTAAAGTGCTTGCGGCGCCGACGTCGTCAATGACATACTCCAACGAACCTCCGACATCCTCGTCGCGAATATCGCTCTCGCTGGGGGGTGCATGGTGGTCAAGCACGAGGACCTCGTCTGCGTGCTTGAGCCATTCCGAGGCGGTGCCGAGCCTTTTGCGCGAGCGGGTGTCGACGACGGCGACCCAGCGGAGGACGTGCGGGTCCACGAGCTTGGAATCTGCGATGGGGAAAAAGCTCTTGTGGAGGGAGAGATAGCGGCGCACGGCGGAGTGCACGCCGGCGGGAATGACGACACGGCAATGGGGGCCGCGCAAACGGGCGAGGCCCACGGCCGCGGCGAGAGAATCGAAGTCGCAGGTAGCGTGCGTGAGAACGATATCGACCGGGGAGGACTGGGATGGTGGTTGGGTGGGAAGCGGGGGTTGGGGGAGGTTGGCGGGTGTGGGGGCGTTGGCCGTCATGGTGGGGAGGCCCAGGGGGCGGGGAGAGGAACGGGGGACGGCGGGGCGGAGCGAGAGCGGAGGGGGGAAGGCGAAAGCTGAGGAGGGCATTGTGGTGGAGTGGTAGGCGAGGGTGGAGGGGAACAGCGAGAGGGAGTGGTTGGTGGGTGCCTAGAAGGGAAAGGGCTGATGTACTCGAATAGAAAAGAGGATGTGTGATGTGAATGTGAATGGTGCGATGCGTTTATTTGCATGGGGGGCGGATAGAATATAATTGGTGCTGGGGGGTGTAAGGTTGCGCTTGATTGGTAAACGGGCCGCCACCGGGCGGGCGATGCAAATTTGAAGCGGCGACGTGGACGGCGGTGGAAGATGAGAGGGCGCTCTGAGAATGGCGTCTGGGGGCACCGGTCCTTGTGTAAGATACAGCGAGATACTTTCACCAAGGGCGTCTCCAGCACAGATTGTTTTTTCTCGAACGCAGCGCATTGGTGCATGGGCGTGTCGCGATATGCTCTAGTAAGTGTAATAATAAGTGCAGAAATTGCCTGCAGCCCCGGACAGGGCGGCACCCGTTTTCCGCAGGAAATCTCATACCTGTAACAGCTCTGCAATGCTGCCGCATCTCATTCAACCCCACTGTGCAGTATCTCGGAGATAGTGTCAGCGCCAGCCATTCTCAACCTGGCATCGAGTTTCATGGCATGCCCCTACAGCACCAGCACACCTTCACGCTCTGTCGACCTGCACTTCCAAGTATCGTTGATCGTAATGGACGGTGCGCTCACGCTCTTTTTACAGTGATCACAAACACTCCTTCGCACCGTCTGTAATTTCTAAAGCAAGGAAAAGCAGATTACAAAACGAAACACCCCATTCACAGCCACGTCACGAGCTCCTCTAATACTCGTCCGCTTCCTCCTCGTCGTCTTTGGAGACTTCCGCATAGTCATGCTCCAGCATCGCAAGGTTCTCCCTGGCCTCTGCGAATTCTCCCTCTTCCATACCCTCGCCCACATACCAATGCACGAAAGCCCTCTTCATGTACATGAGATCGAACTTGGCGTTCACTCTTGCAAACACCTCAGCAATAGCAGTCGAGTTGGCGATTGAGCATACAGCTCTATGCGTCTTAGCCAGGGGATCATCCGGCACCTTCGTCGGCGGCCTCGAGTTGATCCCTAGTTTTACCCCAGTTGGAGACCACTCAACGAACTGCACAGACTTCCTCGTCTTCACCGCGGCCACTGCCGCGTTCACATCCTTCGGGAAGATATCCGCACCCCGGTACGTCAGCGATACCGCAATGTAACGTCCGGAGCGAGGGTCGCACTTGGCAAACGACGCATTCGGCTCGAACACCGAGTTTGTGATTTCGGCTACGCTTGACTCCTCGTGGTATGCTTGTTCCGCAGACACAATTGGAGCGTACGCTGAAAGCATGAAATGGATGCGCGGGTAGGGCACTAGATTAGTCTGGAACTCATTGATGTCAACGTTGAGCGTTCCGTCGAACCTCAGAGAAGCAGTGAGCGAGGAAACTACTTGCGCAATGAGCCTGTTGAGGTTCGAGTATGACGGGCGCTTAATGCCCAACGACCGGCGGCAGATATCGTAGATGGCCTCGTTGTCGAGGACAACACCGACGTCAAGGTGCTCCAGAAGGGAGTGAGTTGCCAAAACCGAATTGTATGGCTCCACAACCGAAGTGGAGACTAGCGGGGATGGATAGACCGTGAAGCCAAGCTTAGACTTCTTTCCATAGTCGACGGAGAGGCGTTCGAGAAGAAGGGATCCAAGGCCGGAGCCTGTTCCCCCTCCCACGGACGAGAAGACGAGGAAGCCCTGCAGGCCGGTGCAATTGTCTGCGAGTTTGCGGATGCGGTCCAGAGCTTCGTCCACTATCTCCTTACCGACGGTGTAGTGGCCGCGGGCGTAGTTGTTGGCGGCGTCCTCCTTGCCGCTGATGAGTTGCTCCGGATGGTAGAGGTCTTTGTAGGTGCCAGAGCGCACTTCGTCAATGACGGTGGGCTCGAGGTCGAGAAAGATGGCACGCGGAATGCGCTTGCCGGCGGACGTTTCGGAGAAGAAAGTGGAGTAGGAGTCCGTGCCGGGGTCGGCTTCCTTCTCAGGCGTCAAGTTGCCGCTCGGGGCAATGCCGTGTTCGAGACAGAAGAGCTCCCAGCAGGAGTTGGCTACTTGCACGCCGGCTTGGCCGATGTGGAGAGAGATGATCTCACGCATTGTGGATGAATTGAGGGGGCGAGTCGGGGTTGGAAGGGTTCAACAAGAAATGCTGCAATGAGCACTTGTCAAACTGGGTGATGAGTAGGATAAAACCGTTAGGCTGGCAGGGGTGGTTTTCGAGTGATCTCACTCGTTCTCAAGAACAAGTTTTTATTTCAGGAGCAGTATGGTTCCAGAGAAAAGTAAATCCTAGTTATGCATACACAGGTACGGCCACGGTGCGTAGGAGGCCGCAGAGTGATGCTTCAAAAACTTTACCAAAAATCTACTGTTTCAATCAGACGTCGAATTCGAAACTCAATTTTGGTGTTAATAATATATACTTGGGTAAAGTTTTGTTTGCACAACATTCGTGGGTGACCTCAAAGTTCCCGCCATGGGCTGTAAGCAAATTGCAGAGTGCTCTCCCATGAAACTTACAGATTATGATACCTGACGACCAGCATTCCCGTACACGTGTATGTGTACCGTTTGGTTGTCAAATAATATTTGGCATACAGGGGGTCCCACGCAATAGTGCTATACCGGAACAGACCTCGATATATGGCACTATTGCGTGAATGGCACTATACTGAAAGCGCCAAAACACAATCATTTACATACAGTTGTCTCTGATCGCTCGCTTCAAACAGGACATGTCCTGCTTGAAGCGAGCGATCAGAGATGCCAGGCTTTGAAGCGGAATTCTACTGTACCTCTCAATAGGCGACAGCTGCGAACGTCCCTGCCTCCCCCCCTGTCCGCTCTCTCCTCCCTTGCACTCGCTCTACCCCTCCCCCTCTACGGCGCCCCGCCCAGATGTTCTCTGCCAAAGTCAGGGCGTGTCTTAACAGGCTGGTTTTTGCTTTGCCTTGCCCGGTTTTGCCAGGAATACTTTTAAATTCTTAACAAATACCGTATGCTTCTTAAGCCCTTGCTTTTCTTAAACACATAAATTAAAACGTAGGAGCCACCCATAGCACGCCAAGTCACTTCTTTGGGCAAAGCAAAGCAAACCGCAGCAAAACGGGGCATGTTAAGACACACCCTCAAGCAGCAGATCCCGTGCCCGCTGTGCGTGATGCGGCGCTACGTGCTGTGCGACATGTGCAGCGGGCACACGTGTATGAACACGTGTAGGAAGTATGATAACCGTGCCAAGGCGTTTTGCATAGCACTAATGCGTGGGAAGCACTACTCAAAGTAGCACTATTGCGCGACCCCCCCCTGTATTATGTGACCAAGGGCACTTGCATGTCCAGTGACTTTCTACTGTAGTAGAAAGTTTCTACTGTACAAATCATGCATCATCTGCTTCCGCTTTCGTTCTTCTCACATTGAACCCGAGACCGGAGTGAAGGAGCGAGCTTGTCTTGGATGACGCTTCTCGGACTCCCCCACTCCCCGAATCAGTGAGTGAGGCGAGGCGATTCCCGTGAGGGAATCCCGCCCCCCGGCGGGCCATGCGCGATGCCGCACCTCCTCGCGCAGCCACTGCCTCTTCTGACCCCTCCACCGCCAGCTCGCACCCCTTGGCGCTGAGTGTCATGCGCTTGACAATTCCCCTTCCGAATCGCACTAATGCTATGCCCTTCATTCGTCAAGAGCCTTCCGAGGCCCTCTCCCCTTCCGAAGCGAACGTCCCCGATCCGCTTTTGCAGAACATTCCCCCATGGGAAGGCGAAGGGGCCCCCTGTGGCGTCGGGGCCATGTCCGTACTACCGGCTTCGTTCGGTTCTATCTATGCCTCTGAGACCTTTCGTTCCTTCATCTCGGTGTACAACCAGTCGACCGGGCCCGTTCAGTCGGTCTCCATCTCAGTACAAATACAGACGTCTACGCAAACGACAATCTCGCTACTCGACACCACACCCTCGCCGCGCCCGATGTTGGATCCCAAGACCAGTATCAATAATATCGTCAAGATCCCTCTCCCGGACGTGGGGATGCATAAACTCCTCTGTGCCGCGAGCTACCGCGTTCAGAAATCAAAGCATTCTCAAATTCGCACCTACCGACAAGTCTTCCGCTTCAATGTCCTCCCGCCCCTCGAGCCCTCTCTCTCCGTTATTCCGTTGTACAAGGGTTTAAATTGCTTTCAGTTTCCTGACGCACATGCCCGATACATAACAAACTTTGCGCACTACCTGGTCGATCTCCGCGTTTTGAATGCCGTACCCGTGCCGGTGTATTTAACGGATGCAACGTTTATTCCATGCAAGCCGTTTCGTGTGCGGTCGCTACTTCGCCAGTCTGCCGACGACATAATTCTCGAAAAAGATGGTCTTGGCGAAGAGGACGCCAAGGTGGAAGCTCGCAACGTCAGCATGGGGGTTGGCGATGCACGCAACTTTTTGTTCCATGTGTACACAAGTCTCAATGAATCTGGGAAAGACACAGCTCGAGGAGGAGATACCGCAGTGGTTGCAACTGCATCAGTAGCACAGCTAGAGGCCAGCAACCGCGGAAGTGAGCCCCCGTCTCAGCGTAAGAAATCCATTACATCTGCAAGTCAAGCATCTGGACGCCCAGCTGCTACAGGTATGAGCAATCCAACAATACCGGTTTCATCTGTAGAGACTGCGCCTCATCAATTAGGCCACATAACAATATCATGGCGATCTGCTTTAGGAGAAAATGGTCATTTAGACAATATAGTCACCGCTATGGCACCCGTAACACGCCATGATGACGTTGAAGTATCCATCTATGCTGTTCCGGAGCAAATTCACGCACATCGACCTTTTGTCGCGAGATGTGCGGCACGGAACAACACTGGTCGTGCAGCCCGGCTGTACTTGCAAATTCGACGAGACCTAGTTGGTGAAATCGTCCCTGTCGGTGTTAGTGGTGTATCTCTTGGCGAAGTGCAGCCTGGGTGCACGGTGAGGTGCAGCATTACATTGATACCTCTTGTGCGGGGTCAGCATACAATCTCAGGCGTCCGTGTTGTTGATATCGACTCGAATAAGAATTTCAAAGCGGACGCCGCTCTAGTCTCAGTCTCCTGAATATCTGTAACAACCAGAAACTTTAACCCGCTCAAAGAGGTTTCATGCGTGATAGCTTCCATATACGATGGGCGGACACTTTCGGAAACCCCACGACCATGCCTTCTCCCTTATTTACCTCGGAAGGACCCAACAAGTATTAAATGACATCGCCAACCAGGCAACCAGTTGCACAAGGATTTAATCAGCGCCTCATTGTCGTCCGTATGAAAAAAGAGTTGCAAGTGGGAGAGCTTGATAGACTTTCGCAGCAGTGTGTGGAAAGTAGCCATAGTCAACAGCTAAGACAACTGCGTACATGATTGCAAAAAAAGACACTAGCAAGTAGAGAACCTGGATATTGGATTCAGGGGCAATCAAGAAAGAAAGGAAAACTCGTCCGCTGCAATGTCAATGGTTGTCCCCGCCATGCGACTACGCGGAAGCGATCGTACAAGAGCGAAACTTACATATCTTGCGATGTCGAGGCGAGTGAAATCGTGAACGGCAAAAAAGAGAAGCTTGACAATATCGCCAGTAAGCATGAGCCAGCAGAAGATGCGAAAATATCTAACATTGATACCACTGCGTCCAGATCTGAGCATAGCAGAGGTGACAGTCCAATGTGCCCAGTTATTCGGAAACACGAAAATCATTGAGACGATCTCGCGATAGACGAGTCGATCGATGATTGCGGCCGTGATGAGAGAAGAGGCGACCACCATAATGGCCGTTTCTACTGCAGAGATCTTAGACATGGACTCAAATGGTAGACGTGGGGCGCCCTCAACAGGGACATATGGAGCAAAGCACCAAGCAGCGATTTTGACAAAGGTTTCCAACCAGCCTAGCAAAGGCCAACGGTTGCACCACCAGCCATTGGATGCGAAGGGAGAGAATTTTCTCGTTGGGCGATATTCGGGAATGAATTCAGGAGGAACGTAGAAGGGCATTGCGGCTCAGATGCACGCAGAAAATCAATGAGACTGATGCCTGAAGAAGTAGTTAGTATCCACCGCGATATCTCGGTGGAAAGAGATAAGAAGCGAAATGGGGACGCAAGTCTTTGCAAAGGAATGGCCAGCAAGAGTATCGACTGTGTGCAGTATGCACCGCATGTACCGTATTGGTCCTTCGAGTAGGGTTTTTACCTTGTGCCCCTATCGAGGGGCTACGAGGCGATTTGCGTAGATTTTCAAAATCTCAACGACATCCCCCGCGCTGTAGGTCCAATACCGAGCCTATGAAATATATCCTCTTCACACGTGTCCGACTCTGAAAGCCGAATTTCTGGGGAAACACGACGCGTAGTAGAATATGATGTTGCTCTCCCGGCACACGCACCGGCACTTCAAGGCTCAACTTTGTCTTTTCTTTTTTCAGCAAATTCATCGAAGTCAGTGTGAGTCAGGCCGTTACCATAATACGCACATACATGTCAAGCATGGTCAAAGGTAAATACAGGTTCAATTTTCTTGCTTCATTACTATCGAACGACAAGAACGGAAAAATTCAGGCGCCTCGTCCATGTGACGTCTATATTTTGCTCATGAATGCCTTTTCCAGTTGAATTGCTAGGTCAGTGACGTAGTGCCCTTTCCCGTTGTACTTCTTGCAATTCTCTACCATCCGCTTCATGTCCGCGATGAAGATTTCTTTTGTTACATAGAACCATCCTTCCTCGAGTCTGTCGTGCATCGTTTTTAAGTCCATTGGGTTCTTAATGACCTCATAGTAGTCGATGGCACCAGTCTCCTGTGCATTCACAGGTTCTAAAAAGGGCCACGAACAGTCGTGTGATTTTATTTCCTTCAGCACGGACTGCAAGTGCTTATGCAACAGTTCCTGAGATGCCTTGTCGCGCACTGAAAACCCGGCGGTCGGACCTCCTCTCGTTGAAAACGCCCCATTCTTGTCCTTTTTCCACCCAATTTCCTTCAACCCTGGTATATCCTCAATTTTCAGTCCTTTCCTTGACGTTACGTCAATTCCAGGAAACACAATGTGCGAATTGGAAATCTCTTTCAATTTCTCAACCATGGCTGTCTTCTGCGCTTTCAACAACATGGGAATGTTCAAATAATCCACCTTAGCGTGCAAGACACACTCCATCAGCGTGACTCCATCATAGTCCTTGATATAGCCTTGCCATTTCTCGAAGGGTAAAGTGATTTTCTTACTGAACCCTTGTTTTTTAAAATAAGCGACCGCATTGTTATCCGCACATGTGAGCAGATGGGTGAGACCAATGCTCTTTGCTCTCTCCTTCGTTTGTGCCATCAATCGGGTACCATATCCTTGGACTTGCACGTTTTGAGAAATCGCCAAAAACGCGATCTCGCCAAATTTCTGATCCGGAAAAGGCCGGTAGCAGCACCCCCCCATAACAGTATAATCATTGTCCTTTCTTCTCAATAGCGCCAAGGATTCATGTTTTCGATCAAAAACCAAGCGAGATACGTATGGACGCGGCATGTTGGGCAGCTGCTTGACGAAAACGTTTTTGAGGCCCAACAACAGGAGAAGGCTGTCGCGCTTGGAATCGTTTTGAACAACTTGAAACTTGACATTGTTGTTCTTCTCTTCTTGCGTCATGCGGACCCATCTTTGAATATAGGCATGTTGAGAATCCCAACCGAGAATATCCTCTGTGGGGTGAATAGCGGCATTGCTTGGAGGTTGACGTGGTTTCTTACATGGCGGGACAGGGACGATGGGCATAATGTTGTATGGCTTTCCCGAATTTAGATCCGCCTCGAGAATGGGAACGTTTTCGGTGGTGACTTTGCTGGGGCCTCCTGTGCCCTCTTGAGGGATGATGGTCGCGATTTGAACGATTGGCATGTGCGTCGAGGTGAGGTCCTTCTTCTTTACAGGGGCGTTCGCCCTCGCCACAGCGGCTGCAGCTGCCGCGCCCTTGAGCTTCTTTTTCGGGGGCTGCAAACCATCGGTTGTGGCTTTTCGCTTCCCTGGTGTCTCAGGTGTTTGCTCGTGGGATTGGCGCTTGTCGCGTTCCTTGTCTGTCACCATGGTGAAACAGGCTCTGCACAGCCCGTCCCGTCAGAACCCGAACGAAAGAGGCTTTGACTTAATTAGAACGATGACGTGCGACGCAGCTGCAGAGCTGGTCCGCTTTCGAAAACGCACATACGATAAGTGCTCTTCACCCTGTTTTCTTCCCAGCAATGCCGAAGATGGACACATCAGCGGACACATGAGCGCAGACTCGAAAATCCTCCACCCCACCAAATCGTTGGCAAATGCGAGTCCTCAAAAACAGGTTTGTTTTCAGTAAAAGTGTTGGATGCGAGGTTTTTATTGGCTGAAAGTTATTTTTCAGTTTTATTAGTGATTATTTTGAATGGTTTTGGGTACTGAGCTGTGGAACACTGCAAAATGCATGTGACAACATTTACTGTTGTGTAGAGTAACTTCGATTCATCGCCCTTCTACAGTACCACTGGATGCGCGCGACTGCACCTTCTTGTGACTTTTTATCAGAGGCGAGCACAACTTGGGCTTGATCGATCGAGCTTGTTGTGTTGCAGAGGTTGCACCGTGTTTGAACCTAACGCTGTGGCGAGAGAGGCAAAGAGTTTCTGCTCATCCGCTGTCGACCTGACTGCTATCCATTTCGCTGCCAAACGCGGAGACAGGGACTTTCCAGCTGATTGTGTGAGTGGTTAAGAACCGTGCTCATACGCATTGCACATAACAGAAGGAAAGGCTGCTGATTTTTCGCGATAAGACGCAGTCCTTCTCTTTCAGCGATTTAAAAGATGTTGTCTTTGTATCAAGCGACACGTGAGGCAGTAGTACGCCAGGCCATTCCGGGCCAAAAATCGTTTATCGTCTTGGGGAGAATTGCGGGCGCAGTATGGCCTTTTCAAGTGCATTCAAAGCGGCTCCTCTCTGCAACACCTGGTTCTGGGGGCAAGGAAAGTCCCGGTGAGGGTCTTGAGAGCGGTACAGATCACGACAATCTGACCCAGAGATTCCAGTTCCCAGATCCCACGGATCCGCACCAACATCCCTTGGCTTCGATGATGTTGGAAGATGTTGAAGAAAGACGAGAATACTTGAAAAAGGTGAACAGCACCAATAAGCCACCTGTCTACAAACGAAAGGTGAATGAGAACGGGGAGGCGTATGCGATCGGAAGCAGAAAGAGAAGTAAAGCTAAAGTTTGGCTTCGACCGGGGACGGGAGACATTGTCGTGAATGGTCGTTCGTGGGTTGATTACTTTCGACGGCTCGACCAGCGGGATAAAATTTTGAAACCATTCGGACTGTTGCGACTGACAGGAAGCATGGATGTCACGTGTGAAGTGAAGGGTGGTGGCACCACCGGGCAAGCCGAAGCATTCCGTCATGCACTGGCCAGAGCTTTGCAGAACTGGAACCCAGAATATCGACCAACAATGAAGGAAAACGGCTTTCTCACGCGAGATAGTCGAGAAGTCGAGCCCAAGAAGTACGGCAGGAAGAAGGCCCGCAAGTCTTTCCAATGGGTTAAGAGATAGGAAGCACTTGCAAAGCTTTGGGAGCTGGCGCGAAATTCAGTTTTCCTTTCTATATTACACAACTGCAGTTTCTAATGTCTCGCGAACATCAAACACCCTCACCGATCCGTCTCCAGATGTCGAAGAGATGAATTTGTTTCCACCGGCGAAGCAAACGTCACTAATAAACGATTCGTGGCCCTCTAATTTCCGCATTTGTTGCCCAGATAATGCGTTCCATAATACAATACTGCCATCAGATGATGCCGACACCAAAACCGGAAGGGTAGGATGCCACACTACCTTTGCGATAACTCCGCCGTGCGTAAATTTACACCGTTCTGTCCCAAGCTCGACATCCCACACGCGGACGATACCATCTCCTCCGGCAGTCGCTAGCAAGACAGGCTTGCTCAACTCCGGTGAAAATGCAACAGACTCCACGCCACCTTCATGCCGAGACAATCGCCGCACAATTTGCCCGGTCCCCCTGTGAGTCACAAATACGTCTCCGGCTGCGCATCCAGATGCAATGAGGTTCGAAGCAGACGTATCCAAACCGCCCACATCCAGACACAAAATGTCCGCGCCATGAAATATGCCTCGTAGTCCATCGATGCCAGTCTGAATACGGCGGACAGTCGCGCCCGTGGTCGGGTTCCAGATTCGCACAGACGTATCTAAAGAAGCGGTAATAACGAGCTTTCCGTCCGCGGAGAAGGTCCCACACGACACGGCATCCTCATGCCCCGCAAACGCCATCATGAAGGAGCCCTTCGCGGCGTTCCACATGTAGGCGACGCTATCGCTGGACCCCGCCAGCAGAACCGGGCCACGCGGATGCCAGGACAGGAAATGGATGGTATCGCCAGGACCGTCCAGCGGGGTGCCGTTGGCGGTGCTTCCGTCCATGAGGACGATTGAGATGGCGCCGTTCTCCGAACCGAAGGCGGCAAATCTGCCGTCGTGGCTGAAGGCTACGGTAGAGACGGAGTCTTTCGCTCCGTCGACTTTGGCGATGCTCTGCTGTAGTTCCAAATCCCAGATGAGGCCGATGTCATCCATGCCGCCAGTTATGACGATGTTCTTGTTGACGGGGCTGGCGGCGACGGCCAGTGTCTCGGAGGTGTGCTCTTGGAAAACTAAAATGGCATCATCTGAAAGTGGTTTCATTTCTTCACCGTCTACTTCGGCATCGGCGGCGTCTGTGCCATCAACATTTATGTCATCAGAGGGTTGTTCTAAGTCGTCGACATCATGATTTGGCTGGTTTGGATCTGCGTCGAGCGACGACAGATTTTCAGAAAAGAAGAGAAGCAGATGGTGAGTAGCAAGAAAAGGGCAAAATTGGAATCGGGGCACTGAAAGAATGCCATACCTGCGCTATCCAAAACAATGACTTCTTCAGCGTCATCTTCTTGGAATTGAGGGAGGTCATCGTCTTGTTGGATTTCTTCGGGGCCTCTTGGGACCTCGGGGCCTCCTGGGACATGCTCTGGTGGGTTATTGTCCGGTTGAACCATTTTTTGTGGATTCAAACCAACGACATGCAGGGAGATGCAGGGAGTATCGGACGCTGCTTGTTGCAAGACTGTTTAGACGATGCCGACGTTCCTGCAGGTCTGCAAACTGAAAGTTGCGGATGTGATTCGCAGCGTGGGTAAGATCTCAGTGCTGGACGACGACGTCTGGCTAGTCCAGCAATGCAAGTTATGCAAAGGAAGAATGTGGTTGGATGTTTGCAAAATGGGACCAGTGCAAGTGTGGTACAGTAGCACCGTGCCGGTGAAGGGTAGACTGGGTTCTCCACTCAAATGGGACTCAAATCTGGTCAGATTTTTTTCTCTAATTCCTCTGGCAACGCCCGCGGGCCCAGCCCCGTCGAAGCCCTCTAACATATCTCCAAGAACACTACCCTTTTATGTCACCTTCCTGCCTAACACCACCTCTCCTTTTTGAATTCAACTTGGCCGCCACTGTTCAATCTACCCGAATTCAACTTAGTCGCGACTGTTCAATCGACCCCTCCTTGCCTACATACCGTTTCCTAACAAGACAACTCCTCAACACACTCTCCGTCGCACAGCAACCACGGCTGAGCGACACCGGCTCACAACACAAAACGCCGCCTGCCAGAATATGCTCCCTCGTCCGACACAATCCGCCCTACCATGCGTCACATTTCAACAAACATCGACCCGAAATCCAAAGCCGGCACCGTCCGCATGGAAGCTGTCGATGCAGAGGACATGTGGCACCTGTACAATCTCCTAGCCCCAGGAGATATCCTTAGAGCCCCGACCATCCGCAAAGTCCAGCAAGAAACAAACACGGGAAGCTCCACCTCAGAACGAGTCCGTTTGACCGTCTCCGTGAAAGTCGAATCCTTTCAGTATGACCCAACAGTGGTTGTCATGCGCGTCCCCGGTCGCGTGGCTCTTGAGAACCCACATATTCGCGTTGGCGCCTTCCATACCATCGAAATCGAACCGCATCGTGCCTTTTCTCTCTCCAAGGACATGTGGGATTCCGTCTACATGGAACGGTTGCAGCTTGCGTTTGACCCAGCTGTGGATGCTGACCTGGGCGCCATCGTCATGGAGGAAGGCCTGGCTCATATCCTTATGGTCAGTCGCTCTTTAACTATCACTAGAGCCCGTATTGAATCTAATATTCCACGCAAAGGCAAGAATGCCCTGTACAATCGAGACGCAGCCATCGAAAAGTTTTTCGACAAAGTTCTTCGCGCAGCCGTCCAACATCTTGACATGGACAAGTTGAAAGTTTTGTTGATCGCATCCCCGGGCTACGTCAAAGATGGCTTCTACAAGTATATGGGTATGGAGGCCGCACGCCAAGATTTGCGGTCCATTATTGATAACAAAGCTAAAATGGTCTTGTGCCACGCTTCATCAGGACACAAACATGCCTTTCATGAGGTGCTCACCAGACCCGAGTTACAATCCCGCCTGGCGAAGACAAAGGCCGTTAGTGAAGTGCAAGCTCTTAACGACTTCCATGAAATGCTCGGCAAAGATCAAGACCGCGCTGTGTATGGACCTGCACATGTCAATCATGCCGCTGAAATGGGGGCCATCGACAAGTTATTGGTAACTGATACGCTTTTTCGGGCACCTGACCCTGAGAAGCGGCAAAAGGTTGTTACTCTCGTGGAGAACATCAAACAATCGGGGGCCACGGTCAACATATTCTCAACACAACATGTTACCGGGGAACAGCTTAATTTGATGTCAGGTATTGCTGCAATATTGAGATTCCCTCTGCCGGACTTGGATGACATTGAGCCAGAAGAGTGAGACAGATAAGATCTGCTACAAACGCGTCGCAGTTTTACCGACGGTGCCGTCAAGCCTCGCTGATGGGTGCCCCTTTACCGGGTAGAGCCGCTTGACTCTTCGCTGTTACGGTGATAGTCTGGCAATCTGCGTGAGGAGAGGGCCGATAGTTCATGAACGAGGAAGTGCCATCTGAGTTGCGAATTCACAGTCTCCCTCCAATGAGAAGATCAAATCGCCCTTTAATAGATCCAGCACGGTTACAGTGGCGTGTTCTAATCTCACTCAAAAAAGCCTATTGAGACTGAATGATGTGCTATGCGGGTAGTACATCTTCGCGTCTGGAAGCGAACTTTCATCGAGTCTACAAAATTAAATTCGAAGCCTTGCGGGGTTCAAGGCCCATCGCCACATCCGGTTCGCCCTTCGCTTCCATTCTGGGCGCGAAATACGACGCTGCCGTCTTTATCCCAGCAGTTGGTGATACTGCTTCTGCCCGGATTTTCTTGCCTCTTCGACGAAGTGCCTCCTCCGCCCGACGTTTGGCCACTCGCATAGGATCGGACTGCTGCATGAGCTGAGTTGCCCGTTCCTTCGCACTTCCCGCATTTTTTCTCCCGCGTTTACGTTTACCCCGAGCAGCCTTTCTCTCGCCCTTCGTCACCTCCCTTTCCCCCACCAGTGTCTTCTTGTCGACGGAAAACGTCTCCTTGGCGGTAAGGACGGTAGCGTCACTCACTCCTTCCGGAATGGCTTCCTCCGATTGCAACGCCATTACGTTGCCTTCAACCCTCATTTCGCTCCTGAGAAGCTTCAAGTGGGGTGTGAACTGGATGCCGGCTAGGGCATCTAATCTGCTGGCCAGCTTCTCATACAGACGATTGACTTCTTTTTGTTCTGGACTTTCGTCTTCTACTTCTTTTTGTACATCTCGCGACCGCTCCTTCTTCAAAGCAGTCTCTTTCGCATCTACAAAGTCCCGGGCATACAGCTCTGCGAGGCCTTCTGTCGACTTCTCCTGTGACACCTCTGGCAAAGACTCGCTTCGGGGCTTCTTGTAATTTTCAGGTAGCTCATACAATCTGACAACGTCGTCGAAAAGACCATCCGTAATCCGCTGTCGGATAATGTCCTCAATAGTTTCGTTTTTTTCGGTGCCAGTGAGCAATGACGGTCTGCTAACTGAATCGTGATCCATGTCTGTCTCCAATAGACTGCCTTGTGGACGGGAGTGGCCGGAGACCTCTCCGCGTAGCTGCCACGGTCGCTTGCTGACATTCTCCTCCTCCATAGCGCTAATGATTTGACGTGTGCGCGTTCTCGACGTAGCCAATGGAGTAGGGGCGGTATCACTATCACTGTCCCCATCTTCTATGGACTCAAGGATTCCAGAGGCGTTATCAGTGACTTGTGCGTTTCCGTCTTCTTTCGATGGTGGATCGAAGAAATCGGCATATCGCACGCGTCCTGGATTGTCTGGAAGTTCCTTCGTACGCACTGGGGCTGCATCATCTGAATCTTGCTCGTCATCCGACTCCATCAATTTCCCTGCTACGGCCAATTCCTCTGCTTCGTCCGCAAACATTTCCATGTCTTCCAAAGAAAAGAATCCGTCTTCGATTGCAATAGTAGCATCTCCCTTCAACTCTTCTCCCTTTTCCCTGCTATGCTGATCAACATCAGGAGCAAACGAGACCCTGCGCTTCTCGCCTGCTTTCTTCTGCTGGAGAATATCTTGTAAGCCCTCGAAATCAACATCCAATTCCTTCTCGGCCGCAGATTCAGATGCCTCGGGTGCATCTCCATTTTCAGCTTGGTTTTCAGTATGCCCCACATCTTCCTCCGCGAGCTGTGGATTGGTCTGTTGTTTGTCTTCTGATGCCACCCCCGGCTGAACCTTGTCTTGCGACATTCGCACCCTCCGAAGGCGCCTCTGCGCAAATGCCAAGACCGGCTTATTCCGCAGCTCAAGCTCCTCCCAAAGTTGGTCACTGTCAAAGTGGGGACCAACTTCGAGGAAGATGACTGGGCCTAAAGGAACGCCATATTTGCCACCCTTTCTCGGTGCATATTGACGATTATCTACGTCAGCACCAAGCTCGGTGACGGTCTGCTCGCGATACACGTCGCCAATCAGGTTACGGCAGAGACCGGAGATTTTTTTGTCCTTGCGTAAGAAGGAAGAAGCGTTATCAGCGGAGAAGACGGACGGCGATGCCGCGTCTAGCGGGGCGTCCTCGGGGATATGCTCTGCGAAGCCATTTGCCTCAGGAGAGGGCTTCTGCGAACGTAGTGGCTCTCCCAGATTTGAAGGTCCTTTTATCTCCTGCGCGACATTGCTGGGGTCGGAATTGGCACCCGTTGCGGCTTGGTCGTGAGCGTGGTCTTTGGGCTCGGGTGATGGGTCCTTTTTTTTGTGCGCTGTCTGCGATCGAGTTCGACGTCTTTCCGTCATTAATACGTCCCCACCTGATTGAGACGTTTTTCGCGATCCCTTTTCCTGCACCCGGGGATTGATTTGGGTGGAGATGACTGCTTTGAATCATGTACGATGGGGACAGGTGAGAGCAGGGTGAAGTGGGAGCAGGGTGAAGTGGGAGCAGGGTGAGGTGGGAGCAGGGGATAGCGTCAGGTGGGAGGAGGAATAGTGAAGGCGAAGGCGTGGCTACGACAGGACGGCCACGGCGAAGAAATGGATCTCTGTAATTTATCTACATTACACCAGATGCATCAGAGTCCAACCTGAGCCATGCATCCTCTCTCTTTCCTCTCCTGCTTCACATGGGGTCGAATTACTCTTTTGACAGATACACAATGGTAAACTAACCGCGACTCCCTCTTGCAATTCTTCCCCATACTCAAACCTCCAGACATCTCCTCCTCGCTCCGTTGCACACCTCAATGGCCTTCATTCTGCCAACCCCACTCATCCGCCGCTCGCGGCACGACCCCGTGTCCTTCAGCCCGCGGCGGCGGCGACCAGTCCCCCCTCCACCTGTTCCGCAGCGCCCCCGCATGACCTATCAACCGGACCCGTCCCCCTACTCCAAAAGCGACTTTGGAAACGGCTCCGATTCCGCCCCCTCGGATGTCGAGCTGGAGGCCGTCGACGTCCCCGCCTCTGCAGTCGACGCGCAAACGCGTGCCGTGCCGATATCAGACCTCAAATGCTCGCTCTATGCCGCTGTCTCCAGCACCAACCGTGGCCTCACGGCCAGTGCCGACGATCGCGCCAACATCCTCTCCCTCGTCGCAGAGCTGGAGCGCGCTAAGCCGCCCACCGCGCCCGCTGATGATCCGGGTATGCTGTGCGGCCGCTGGCGCCTCTTGTTTACGAACGCGCTCGACGTTCTGTCTCTCGGCCTGCTCGCACCGGTGGCCCAGGTGGGACAGATATTTCAGAACATCTATGAAGTTCCGCTTGAGGGAAAGGGCGACTACGATTATGATATTGAAAATGTTGTGCAGCTCGAGCCTGCTTTCGCTCCGGTTTCGAATGTGCTCGGGGGGCAGTCCATTACAAGTATTACGGTTAGTGCAGAGGGGAGGAAGACAAGCGATTCTAGAGTCGATATTACGTTCGTGCAAAACGCAATTAAGCAGGAGAAGATTTTTGGGATGCAGCTGCCAAATGAAATTCCAGCGGCTAAATTTGCCATTGGCAGTCCTGTAGGATACATAGAAACTACTTTTCTTGATGAAGACATCAGAGTTGCTAGAGCCCCGCCGGTTCGAAGTCAAGAGGGGGGGCTATTTCTGCTCATTCGTGAACATTAAGAGGACGGTTTCATGGTGTATGCTAAAATTGGGGAATAAAGAATATATACTACTGTACCCTGGGTAGCTACTCTTACATTTGTTCCATACATTTGTTCCAAAAAAAACTAGAGGCAACAAATCCCCTTCCGCCAAAGGTGTCCAACAATCTCCGTGGCGAAGCGGATGTCGCAAGGGGCAGACTCCTGCGCAGCCCCTCGAAAGGCGTGTAGCGCTCTGTTTCCTGTTTCCGCTTTTCATTGCTAATGCACAATGGGTGCAAGCTGCAGGTTAGCCATTTGAATGGTGAAACCAGCAATTGTTGGCAATGCGTGTCATCGGAGCGGAGTTTTTAGTTTCTCATTTTTGAGCTCCAATTTTTTGCATTGGCGTGTGAGAGCTCGACCTTCTACTTGAGAAACGAATTGCAATGCCTCGCATCACGCGCCATGCCTTTCGACGGGGGGCTCACTCCACAGCAAGCAGTGAAAAGATCATTCTTGCTCTCGGCTCCAATGTGGGCAATAGAGCGAGTGCAATTCGCAAAGCATTAGACGAGGTGAGGCAGTTTGCGAAAATCTGCCGTACTTCGTTTCTGTATGAAAGCCCTCCGTAAGTTCACAAGACATCCTATGCTGGCTATGATCGTTTGCAGACACTCCGGACACTCTGACAACAGAGAAAGCTTATCATTGCGTCCTTCATCCATGTCGATCTCTTCTCGTTTTAAAGAATGTATGTTGAAGAGCAACCTGCATTCCTCAACGCTGCATGCGAAATCGAGACAACACTGGAGCCGCTTGACCTCCTTCAAGCCGTGAAGTGCGTCGAAAAGAACTTTGGGAGAGATCAGAAAAGCGTCAGGTATGGGCCGCGCTCTATTGATCTCGACATCATTGCGTACGGAGAACGCCTCTTTCAAACGTCAGATGACAAATTGGTGATTCCTCATCCTCGGCTAGCGGAGAGAGATTTTGTTCTTCGCCCGCTCTGCGACATTTCTGAAGACTGTCAGATCCCACGAATTGACGGCACCAAACGAAGTGCAGTTGACCTGCTCTCAGATTTGCTTGGGGATAAAACAGACTGCAATCTGGTCAAAGTCACGCCCACGAACGCAGGCAGACTCCTAAAATGGGGGTCACACACGTTATTAATGGGGATCATTAATGCCACCCCGGACAGTTTCAGCGACGGGGGAGAAAACAACACGGTGAGCTCTGCGCTGCGGCAGGCCGAAGAATTCGTGAAATTCGACTTCGATGTATTGGACGTAAGCTTCTCTCAAACTTCCTCGACAACTCCCGGAACACACTACGTTTACCTTGGAAGCTAACAAAAAAGTACTACTCCTAAAAATGACCATAGATCGGCGGCCAAAGCACGCGGCCAGGCGCGGAGACAGTCGGCGCAAGTGAGGAACTGAAGCGTGTACTGGCGATCACTGATGCGATTCGACGTGAGTTTCCGTCGTTGATCATCTCCACTGATACGTTTGACGCGTCAGTGGCATCAGAAATGGTGGCACACGGGGCCGAGATAATCAACGACGTGTCCGCGGGACGACACGACAGCAGCATGCACGAGGTGGTGCGACGAAGCGGGGCGGCAACGGTGCAGATGCACATGCGCGGGACAGCCGGGACGATGCAGACGCTGACGCAGTACGACGGCGACATGGCGCAAGCCGTGGGGAACGAACTCCTGCAGCAGGTGAACGAGCTTCTCAGCACGGGCGTGTGCCGATGGTCCGTGATTGCGGATGCGGGGATCGGGTTCGCCAAGACGGCGGAGCAGAGCGCGACGCTAGTGCGGGACGGCGTCAAGTTCCAGCGGGCGGTGGGGGGACTTCCGACGCTGCTCGGGGTGAGCCGCAAGTCGTGGCTTGGGAAGGGCTCGAACGAGGAGCGGGACTGGGCCACATCCGGGGCGATCGGGGCAGCACTGATGGGCGGCGGCGTGGACATGGTGCGCGTGCATCGTGCGGAGGTGGCGCGGGCTGTGCGGGCAGCGGATCTGGTGCGAGGGCGGCGGTTTTAGTGGTCTTGCGCCACTTCGTCGTTGTGTGAGACTATGGCTTGCGAGATGTCTTCCCGCGTGGTGGCGCCGTCGTAGTGACCCGACATGACTTGGGCCTGGTCGCGGGAATGGGCTTTGCCGAGCTGCGAGGTAGGCAGGGGGTTTGAGGGTTAGTGGGGCGGTTGGGATGTAGGGAAGAGGAGGAGCGCGGTGGGTCGGGACAGGCCCCGGTCGGGACGTACTTGCAGGGCAGCGATGCCGGCGCCGAAGACGAGGATCCTGAGTGGTGAAAGGAGAGTCGAGGAGGTCAGTGTATGGGATTGAAGGATTTCAACGGTAGCGAAAGAGAAAAGGGTCTGCGTACCACTGGATGGTTGCGGTGGCCTTGTAATTCATGACTGAGCGAGTAAAGTGGTTGGGTTGACGAAGAGGCGAGCGCGGATTTGTACGAGACGATAGAGACGATGGGAGAGAGAAAAGAAGAGGCGCTGATGTGGGGAATGATGGAGGAGGAGGAGACTCATCACATTTACTCACTCAGTATCCCTCTGTCCATACCGGCCAATCGTATCCCACCAAGTATCCCATTCCGAACATAACATGTCCAACCCTACAGCCTTACGTGTCCTTGTTGACAAGGTGACATCACCCGCTCTGTGTCCTCCGAGATTGATTGCTCATACTCTTCCTCTCTTGCTCCCCACCCGCACCAACCCCCCTTGTTCTTTCTCTCCGCCCGCTTTACCCCCGACACCCAACCCCGACCCCCTCACAATGCCCAACCTTTGCTTCCTCACCCCTCCCTTCCTCCCATTCCCCACCCGAGAATGCCCGCTCCACTCTCAATCTCGCCCGCCACCCCGCATGTCCGGCGTCAACGGCGGCATCGACTACGACATCGACCTCTCCACGCTGCCGGACCCCCTCTGCTCGCGCGTCGCCCATATCTGATCCGG